AGGTTACCCCTTACAATTTAACAAATATACCAACACACAAACTTTACCTCTTTATAATATGAGTGTAGATAAAAAAGCATTGTTAGTTCTATCAGATGACTAGAAATACACATCTCATAAAAATGCAAAAGTTCGGGAGGATTGTAAGACAAGTTCCTACTTAAAAAGCGGTTCCATTTGATTTAGTAATAAAACAACGTTATTATATAGATTTTCAGAGGTCCCATTTGATTTTGTAATATATAGGTACTTTATGATATAGATTTTCAGAGGTCTCACTAAAGCCTTTATCCGGCCCTGGCCAAGTCCCGGGATTTACGGTTATCGCTCGCCGGGATGCGTTCAATCACAACCCGGGAACTTCGCACTTAGCGCGTCTGCTCGCTTATTGCTGGACCGGTATCGATTGGATAGTTCGGGAGCTGATGGAATTTGTAAGAGAAAATATCTACTGCTTTTTTACTCAACTAAATCCAGCACTGCTTATTATTTACTTGAATTGGAGATGTTAATGAACTAGGACCGTAAAAGATACATAAGGTATTACAGGTTTCAGAGGTCTGTCAGTGTTCTTTAGTTTTTGACCCCACCAGATTCTTAAAGAACTCCTAGTATTTTTAGCATTGAATTTTACAACAGGACAACTTAAGGACTCAATGTCTTACTCAACAACTGAAAAAAATTGAGAAGTGCATTAGATGAAATTTTAGGAACTAAAACTGACCACTCTTGTTGCTTAATCATGGATTTAATATTAAAAACAGATTTATAAACCGTATTCAAACTTACTTATAATAAGTCTATTACTAAGTCTTATACCAAAGATTTATTTCAATGCTAAAAATTCAAAGCATTTATAAGTTGAGAAGCGAAGCAAAATGGCGTCGAATAAAAGTAAGTGCCTGTAAAAATCTGAGAACGCTCTCCGAGGCCGTAACGTATAACTAGTTTATCATCCATTACCCGCTAAGTACGCAATATCCGCCAAACGATACGAATAAAGACGGTTAGCTATCGGTAAATTTAGTAGATATCGTGGATAGATTTAGCTTAGGTACGTAACACTTGCTGAAAGAGTAATTGTTTATAATATGTATTTAGAAGTAGCACTAAAATATGGTAGTCGTTTATCTTTTATTGCATTTGTCAATTTTAGGTTAGACCAATATTAGTCGACTAAACTATGTCTCAGGCTTTCACCAAATTCAAGTGAGTTATCGAACCGTTCTTAGCAAAGTAGCCCTTAGCCCAAACTTCACCCTTTAACCACGAATTGCTGCCGAACGGATGACTTAATGCCCCTTTACAATTACTCTATCTCCCGCAATCAATCCGAAGTTTCAGCATAGATCAATAATACATAGACGATCTTTCAATTCATCCAGTTCGGAGTTCACCCCGAAGACAATTAAGTGGCACGTCCCTTTCACACTTCTCCCCACTTCCCCACTTCCATTTCTCCACTTGCCATTCACCCCGTAATATAGCAGCATAATTACGCTGTTAAGGACGAAGATTTCTCCCTGCTTGCGGACTTTGCGTAAGGGATTGTAATTTCTTGTAATCGTTGAAGTTTGGCTTGTTTACATCTCTTGTATTATGTGGGACGCTTAGAGGATTCATTGCGTGGTTTGCCAAAGTTTGGGCTTGATATTTGCTTTGAGTGCGAAAGTTAAGCGATCATTCTGTTTTGAATGGTATCAACGGCGTTATAAAGACAGATGTGCCGATTTTAGTTTAAACGATAGGTACGTTTTACTAAATTATTTAATGCACAATTGCATAATTTATGTAATGCATAATATATGACAGTATTTTATGCATTACGTAAAGGGTATTTACGTAATAATATCATTGGTATTATTTCATAATGTTTCCCCTTACTCTCTCAACATTTCCTTATTTTGGACATTAATTAAACCATTATCAGCAGGTTGTCAAGCGCAAACAAATAACAAATATCTATAATATTTGGTGCTGTACATTTTCCTAATTTAAATTGAGCCAATATTATCCAACTTCCACTAAGTTAGTGCCTTAACGTCAAAGTTCTCAAATGAGACGTCCGCGTGAACGGCTCTACCCAAAACAGTGGGCGAACTTTACCACAAAGGCCTCCGAACATCTTTCTCTGTAAAAATCTGTAGCGTGGAAGTATCGCAAAGACGGAGAGACGCTAACGACCGAGCGGCGAGAGCGCTCTGATTTCCAATTCAAGGGAAAATTGCGATCCATAAAGCGGGCAGGGATGGGGAGAGGGGTGAGCCCCCACCGTTGCTACGCGACGCGGGGAGGAGTCGCCGCAATCTCGGCCCAATAGCACGACGGATATAAATTGCTCTGGCGACAAGAGAGTGGGACGGGTAGAGTGCACCCGCTCGCTCTAATGAAGTGCCGCTCACCGGCCCTTGATTGACGGACCACGGCCCTTTCAAAGTACCTAAGTCGGGAATCGACGCCGCGCTGTGATTTGTGAAGGTAATTACCTACTATGTAACACCGTCGCATTGGTTGCCACTGTTTTCCTGTTTTGTCCACGCCGAATTTGATACTGTAAAATTGTGTTAATTATTTATTTTAAATGGCATTTAGGTACTTGTTAAATGAAACCGACTGAAACTTCCGCAAGGGACGTATGTACTTTGTGAAATATGACCATAAATAGACATAATGACCAGTATAAGTCATTGTTACAGTTGAATTTATGTAATTATATTTGACGTATAAATTCTGTGAAATCGTGAGCTCAAGAGAACTTCACATACAAAATAAATTAGTGTAGGTAAAGGCAGCTTTCAACAATGGCTGCGAAAGTTTCGCCCATGACAATGCTTTATTAAATTCTTAAAAGCTGGAATCACTATTCGCGATATAAAGGAACTTAGAAGGAGCTTTTGTTCTAGTCTATGTAGTTAAAGTTCGATAAATACTTAAGAGCATACCCAGTTACGTGTATATTTTAAATTAAAGGCAGTTGTAATAGAAATTTGAGCTGAGATGTGTATGTAATAAGCTATAATATCGTCAAAATGAACCCATAACAATAGTTTCGTAATCGTATTCTTGCCCAATACTGAGTAAAACTACTTTTATCTCTTATTCTTATGATTCACCAAAAACCTGATTGTGCTAGCCCTAAGGGCCGCGCAAATTGAGTCCTAACTCCAGTACATAAAGTTACGTTCAAAACCGTTGTAGGGGCGAGCTATAAATTTTTGTAAGGCCAGCGCGTACGGACGCCGAATGCGTAATATGGCGGACTTCGCACAGATTACGCCGGCATTAATACGTGCCAGGGCATAGACAATATAGCCTGCTGAAGAACAGCCAATGGCCAGATTCGCATGATCTAAGTGTGTGATTTTTATCTGTCTACGTAAGCGTGATAACTAGATCTTTCGATCCTCTTAATACAAAAGAGGTAATACTTGGCTTGACATGCACTATTATTAGATTTTTAGTCGTCAAAGTGGTGGCTTACATTACAATTATTAATAAACCTTATAGCCATACATTAAGGCTACTCTAAGGCTGGGTTGCACCATCTTGCTTTCGTCAAAAATCTTTCAAATTCCACACAAAAAACATAGGTTGTCGTCACAGTTACGGCTAAAGTTGAGTGGTTCAATTTATGCAATTCTTAAAATAATACGAATATTTTAATCTAATGTTAAAATCTATCAAACCTTTAAAGCATCAAAGCCGACCTATGGATATTCTCATAAAACAATACCCTTTTTCGGCAGACAGGTAAAAAGAAAACATCTAAAGTTGGCTCAACGTCATTAGGCGTTATACATTTTTGTGAGCTCACACGAGCGCGGTGCGAATACGTAATGGCTGACCTGGCACAGATTACGCTGAGTATGTAGACTGGACTACAAATCCATGGAGTTCTGTAAGTTTTATTTCGAAATAAAACTGTTTACGTAGAGCTCTTTTGTCTCTAAGCAACAGAAGTCCATCTGTGTGTAGAGTTAAATATTAACACTTCATAGTCCATCATCAACATCAATTAACTTCTACAAGGCAAAGACTTAAAACGCCATAATATGCAGCTTTTAGCCATTAAAATCGTCTGGTCATTGCGTCTCCAATGCAGAAGCACGACCCTCTCTAATTTACCAATAGCAAATATAGCCAGGAAGTTGTCGAACTCTTACGACATCCACGTGAAAGAGAATCCTATTTTACTCTGTTTTTACGGCTGAGCCGCATCCATTGCAAATATCTTAAAATATTATAATTAATTATTATTTACGGGATTGCTACCATGTGAATTTTTATTTAAGAGCTTCCGATATTTCGGCACTGTTGTAAGCACCTTGATCACGGAGTCACTGATGATCTAGCAGGTTAGATGTTTTTGGCAGACATCATTGGGTGGCTCGTAAATAAAAAGGTACATGATAGCAATCCCGTAAATAATAATATTCTAGTGAGGCGGGTCGTTACATTCCCTCTAATATGGTCGAGTGAAGCGATGGCTGGTTCACTCGTCATGTCTGTGAACAGGCGCTGCTTTCGGGGACTGCTCAATCCAAGTTATTCCAATTTATGTATGCGAGTTATTTCTACTAGTATTTAAGTATGTACCTAATCTGTAAGTCTAGATATTAGCACGTCACTACCTTGTTTAATATACCACGCAATTTTGTATACCCATTACACTATACAAGAAAGGTGGTAAATTCAGTGAACTGCTCCTGAATCGAATGTACCTACTACTGCTATTTCTATTTATTTATATTAACCGGCAGACAGTGGTGACTGAGTTTGTTGCGGCGCTTCTTCTCAGCACTTGCCAAATGTTGGTCTCGAAGCGCTGGTAGGGTAAAAAGATTATGAGACATGTAGAGGCTCCTTAAGAGCAAAATGACGATTTGTAAGAACTATTTATTAGTCTAAACAAATAAAGAAATTTTGACTTTGACTTTGACAGTGTTAGTGACCATGAAAGCTAAAAACAATTTGACTTAAAATACACCCTTTGTTCACAGGTGAAAAGCCGCACAAATGCCAGGTCTGCGGCAAAGCGTTCAGCCAGAGTTCCAACCTGATCACCCATTCCCGCAAGCACACCGGCTTCAAGCCCTTCGCCTGCGAGCTGTGTGGACGAGCGTTCCAGAGGAAGGTGGATCTCCGCAGGCACCGGGAGACGCAGCATGCGGACCTGAGACCGCCGCAGCAGCATATGCAGCCGCCGCATACGGATGTGCATAGCATGCATGCACCTGAGATGCATAGCGTCGCTGAGCATAGATTAGGTGAGTTCTGACTTCAAATATTAATTGACAGGATTTGGCGAAAAACCGTTGCATTAAGACTGCACCCTAAACTCCAACTGTCGCAAAAAAGGGACAAAAATGTGTACGGGATACTTGTGATTCTTAAGACATAATAATTCTTATTCCTTTAGTAAATCATAAAGATGCAAGGAAAGAAGTCCCCCTACATTTTTTGTCAGATCATATGTCTGTATGGTAGGACATTACATTGCTTATGAATAAGCAGTTACAACAAAATCAGTATTTAGTTTTTTTAAAACATTACTTTACCAAAACCGTTGTGGCTAAACGCAAACCGCGAAAGCCAAGAAAAAAAACTTTCCCAAATCACAAATGTGACTAAATTGAAGCTCTTGTAACATAGACTAGGCCTATAGAAAACCACATACAATGCAATGAGTTTGGAGCCTCCACTGGTTCGTCAAATTCCCCCGCATCTCGTTTGTAGCTATCTGGTCACTTTCGTGTGTTATTAAAAGTGAACTTCAAAAATCGAGCACCAATGACATTCCAATAACCAGCAAATCTCCCACAGATCTCCGGCCGCCCCACCATGAACTGCGGCCCCCCCACCCAGACTTCAGGGCCCACATGAGCAACCCTGTGCCCCCCCTACAACCGCTACCATCCTGAACGTCATCAGCCTTCGCGCCAGCGGCCTGGCGTTGAGGCGTCCAAACACTACCAAAGATTCACCTGAATGGGAACGGGAATGCAGCGGTATTTTTTTTAACTATCCTCATTTGTTTTTCCTTTGAGGTCCTTTGTAAATAAAAAGCTGTAAATTGGTCTTCACTTAGATACGCGGCCTTTATTATTGATACTTCGAATTGTTTGTAATTTAAAATTATTTATACAGCCGCTGCAACCCGCTTCTGTTAAACTTTTGACTTACATATGTTAGTAAAAGATTGAGCAACTGCAACTATTTTAAATATTTAAAATGTGATAAAGAAATTAATTGAATCATTTGTTACGTTAACTGGTTTATCCAACAAAAAAAAATATTGTAAACCGTATTAATAGTGTCGCTTTCAAACTTTAAAAAGTCTTTTACTAATACAAGTCTACCTATGTCTGACTTATGTATTTTTCATGTTAATTGATGTTTTCTTACATTCTTATTAACGCAAAAGTCAAGCAATTAACTGTCACTAAAAATAGAATTACCAGTAAAAAGTAATTTCCATTCCATGAACCAAATTGTAAAGTAAGTAATTGTGTTATGACTCTTTGTTATTGTGAGTTTTTGATCTCATTGTATAAATTAAATAAAAGGCTGTTATGCCATACACAATGTATAAATACATTTTCTTGGAAATTTTAGCAACTTGCTTTGTATGGACTGACGCATTCCAAAGAGGAGAACAAAGAAATATGTGTAAAATATACTTTTAAAGTACAAATTGTCATTCCGTTTGAAAATAAAATTTCCGCCATTCATTCCGTGGGTTAAGATAATATTAATAACGTCGTTATAAAAACTATAGCTTTTATTCAGAACCAAATATTATTTTAGGACAAAAATAAATTCAGTACAATTTTAGTAGACACATTACTTCAATTAAACTTCGTGTAAGTAATATACTGTTTAGATTGTATCTAATATATAGCTTCTAAAAATAACGTATCAAATCTTTTGCTTACGTTTGACACGTTCTTTTTGGAATTTGGAACAACCTGTATAAAGCTGCTGACAAATAAACGTCTTACGTTGCGTTGAGTGACTTGTTTCATATTTAAAATCTATGACAGAATATAAATATGATTATGTTATATAAAATGTGTCACGCACGAGTGTCAGCAGCCTAATATTAACTCATAATGTATAAAATGTTGTCTATTTTTACGACTAGTGTATAATTTGAGAGCACATAGTTATATAACAATTAAACAATAGATAAATGTAGTTATTACAAAACATTTCCTCAGGCTAATGACCTGAACTTGTATGATCATGCCCAGCTCATAGCAAATTAGAACATTATTATGTGGTTTAGATAATATTGATATTATGTTATTTGATTATAATGTTTGTTTTTGTAGTAGACACCTTTTAAAATCGTCAACGTCACCGACCATAAAAGTAACTATCAAAATTGTAAATAATCACGTTTTAATTAATAATTATATTTATATAAATGTTATATAATATTTACTAAATTTTGTTTCGTCATTATACTGTCAGAATGTCTTAGTTAATAAAATATTTGTGTACAATATTTCTCAATATTTTAAATATAATTAATTTTGATTGTATAAGAGCTGTAAATATTGTATAAACTTCGTTTAGTCGTGTAAACTGATCCAAAGACAAACGTGCAATCCTTATGTCTATTTACGAGTTATTGTGATTTATTATACCTAAACATGTCACTTCAATAAAATGATGATGTATTAAAATGGTATTTCATTTTCATTATTAAAATTAATTAATATCTAAATTTAAATAACTCAAAGGTGACTGAATGACTGACATAGTGATCTATCAACGCACAGCCCAAACCACTGGACGGATCAGGCTGAAAGGCATGCAGGTAGATGTTATGACGTAGGCAACCGCTAAGAAAGGATTTTACGAAACTCCACCCCTAAGGGGGTAAAACGGGATCCACGCGTATGATGTCGCGGGCGGCCGCTAGTCGTTTAATAAATTGCTTCCATTCCAGAAACTTAGAATGAATTAAACGTGGGCCTTATTAAAAAAAAGTTAAACTTGCGTTGAACACTTGATCAAACTAAATGTCAATTGAAACAAGTGTTCAACGCGAGTTTAACTTTTTGTGTTAAGACCCTGAAACTCCAAAGCTGATATGAATGATTTTAGATGATTGGAATAACTTTTAACAAACGTCAAATGACATGATTTCTTAAAACTCCTGACGTAATAATTGGAAACATTATACTTTCCAAAAACATTTCAAGTTAATCGTAAGGCGATACAGCAAAGCTTACGAAACCAACATTATGGTAATAGGGTGTGATGTCTTAATCCGATGTGCTCGCTATAGGGCGCTAGGAGCGATTTAAGACACCCTGCTCGGGTTTCGGGGTAATTTACATTTCTATTAATATTTCTTGTTCTAAGGCTGCGAGCACACTTGCTTTGCAATGTGGGCGGAGGTCGGCAGCCAAATTAATTTATTTGACTATTAAAACCCTAAAAAACAAAAATCCTCAGTGCTGGTAACACAATAAAAACTGGTGTATTAACTCCACTCTACCAGGCAGTTGCCAAATAATAAAAAAATGTGGCTCTATTATACGTTTTCATATCAAAAACTGTGTAGAGACGTTGACGTAAATCGCATATTATAATTAAAAAGTACCTAAATTAAACCATTAATATTAATAGTTTATTAAACGGTATAAAGGAATATTAGAAAAGTTGTAAATATGCTTATAGCCTGACCAGGAACATAAAAACCCTCGCCATGTTGCGGAAAACTAATGGTACTAATTTCTTTTAATGGCAACAGTAACTGAAAACTTCATTGACATGTCACCTTGCATGTCAGTCTATTGCTGTCAAAGTGTAAACAAACTTTATTTTAAATGTGCGCAATTAATTTTGTGAATTAAATTGCTAAAATCTTTATACAGGGTGTTAGGTAAATGGGTATATGAGCCGACACTAGCCCATGTTAACATGGTCATATAAATGGGATGGTGAAGTCAGAAATTTGATATCATCATTTTATTTTTTTTAATTTTCATACAAAATAAATTTTATAAAATCCGATTTGTATGAAAATTAAAATAATTAAAATGAAGATAGATATCAATTTTCTGACTTCACCATACCATTTATATGACCATCTTAACATGGGCTAGTGTCGGCTCATATACCCATTTACCTAACACCCTGTATAGTCGTGAAAGAAAAGTGGTTCATAAGTGTTAAAGTATTTGTCGAAGAGAAATACTAAGGGTTCGGACAATATTTTCATTGAATAATGTTTCCGACAAAGGTTGTCAAATTGACTGACATGTTTATCGTATAGTACAGTCCACTATGAAAATTAGCTGTGGTTTGTTTCAACTACCTATTTTAAAGTTTTTTGTCACTTTCTAAGTGTTGAATTTTATGGAATTGGGAAAGAAGTACCGAGTTTGAAGCGTTCATGAGCAGACATTGCAGTTGAATATTCAAGTTCTGAATTTGATTATTGATGAATAATAAAATAAATCCTACTAGCTCGATTGATGGTTTCATTTAATTTATTTAAACCAGGTTACCTATAATAATATTTTTTCGTTAATTTATGAAAATATCAAATTAGCCCGTAATCCTAAGTCCTTATACATAAAGTTAGCCTATTAATTTAACACAGGTACGACTGTACTCAGTGTTGCACTATTAAATGCAATTGACGCGCCTCTATGCCAGGGTTTTTATGTTCCTGGTCAGGCTATAATAAATTAATTCACAATACCTAATCAATTTTTTTTAAATTATGCCCAGTATCATATGACTACATTATGTCACGGTGTGAGACAAGTAGGCAAACTGTCATGTTTATTGACAATCTTCAATAAACTATTAAAGTAAAAATATTATTTTAATTTAACATAATAAGAGCCTGGATTTAGAATAGGAACAGCACTACCAAAAAAATAATAAAAAAACTCGGGCGGTAGTTTGGATTCGAGAGTTGTCACAAGCGCCGCGCGCCCGGCCGAGCGACCATCCGTATCATTGCGGTTTTTGTTGTGAATTTCAGTGTATTATCGTTGTGAATGGGTTTAGTGGACTTATTTTATATTAATCAGTGTGTACAATTGGTGAAAAGTGGACATCAAGTGAAATATAATCGCTGAACAATGAACATACATGAGAGCTTATTCAATTGATAGCTACTCTTTCACATCCATGTCCTCGCACCTTAGGAGAGGAGAGCAACTCTGAACCGGACCAGGTAAGTACAATCGCAAAATCATCAATATCTCTTACAATATTCGGGAAGGAATATAGTGTGATGAATAACAATGATTTACTTATTTCCTTCCTAAATTTTCCAAGCAAAATCTCAGCAACACACATTCACTAAAGCATTGTTAATAGCATAGATGTGGTCGTCAAGGATTCATTTTGAATATAAATTTTCGAAAAAGTGATTCCTCACTATTTGTGCAGGAGACAATTCACGTAAGCTAATTAAATTAGTTTTAATCACAACTCACCTTAATTTAAAACTAAAAAAAAAAAACGTTAATAAAACTCAAAAAACTGTTTTTTGAGTTACCGCAGTGTGTTATAAAACGGTCGACTTGTGTACACATCCGCAGCCGTTTTTAGCGATTAAAAATCTAGCCATACCCTACTAAATTAATTAGTCGATTACATTGATTGAAGCCTGTTTGCGGGCGTTTGTTTGCCGAGTTATGATCGATCGATGATCACGCTAATGGCCATCGATTTCAGATAGTCTATGGTTCGCAAACAATCTGCTGATGGCTTATTATGAACAGAGTAAATACAAATGAGTAGGTCATCTTCATAGAAACGCACGGGCGCGGTTTGTATGTGAGCGCGCCAACACGTATGCGGCGCGCACGCACACACTGACAAAATTTAGCGGGGATTAGCGGGGAGCCAGTCGTGGTTGCGCCGAATTTTGTCAGTGTGTGCATGCGCGCCGCATACGTATATTGGCGCGCTCACATACAAACCGCACTCGGTGCGTTTTTATGAAGATGGCCTACTCATTTGTATTTACCATATTTACTCTGTTATGAAGGTGCAGTGGCAATGATACGTCAACACTAATGATTATTATTTACATTTAGCGATTTCTAATGGACTGAAATCATAGAATAAGCCTAGGCGCAGACCATCGACTTTTAGTTGGCCGATAGTTGGGCCCGATTCTGATTTGTATGAAGAATCGGCCGATACCAAATCGGTGTAATGTACGCACTAACATTCATACATCTTCATACTGATTAACAGCCCGACCCAACTATCGGCCAACTAAAAATCGGTGGTCTGCGCCTAGGCTGAAAGTCAGTTTCAGCCAAATAACGTCCACTGCTGGACAAAGACCTCCTCCAAGGATGTCCACAACGGCCGGTATATAAATAAAAATTAAAGTGAAAGTGCCTTTAATAAAATTTACTCTAACACAGACCACCACTAACAGTAGATGGTTGAGACAACATTTAGTTAACACAATCAGCATATTCTTTCCGTGGAATTTAAACCTTGCATCATCATCATCGTTTCAGCCACAGGACGACCACTGCTGAACATAGGCCTCCCCTATAAATGACTTCCACATCGCACGGTTGGTAGCGGCCTGCATCTAGCGCCTTTTTGCTACCTTTATCAGGTCGTCGGTCCACCTCAAAGTTGGGGCAGAAAAGTTCTCGAGTGGCGACCACGGGCTGGAAGACGTAGCGTGGGCAGGCCTCCTACTAGGTGGACCGACGATCTGGTAAAGGTCGCGGGAAGAGCCTGGATGCGGGCAGCGCAGGACCGTGCATTGTGGAAAACCTTGGAGGAGGCCTTTGTCCAGCAGTGGACGTCATTTGGCTGAAACGAACGGTCCACCTCATACCAGACATTCTTAAATTAATTTTTAAAACTCGCTAAAGTATCATCAGAATCTTCTCCCTAAAAAGTAGAGCTGACCCTATCCTAAAGAAGTCCCCATCAAAAATTCACCTTACAGAACCTAGAGTTTTATTTGATTACAGTAGGACGAAAAAACATTGTTAGATTTGGAGTGAGAGGGCAGTCCTCCCGGGAGAATGGTAGACGCTAAACGCCTGTTATCACGCACTACGGGGGCGCATTCAGGGCCCGGCTATTGTTTTATGACAGGGAGGGACTCAGGTCCGTGTACTAAACAACGATCAAAACACGATTCATTTGTTTATTTTATTTTTTTGTAAGGCTACAGAGAAC